CTTTAATGCAAGTTTTGTCAGGTTGTCAGTTTAGAGTCTTGCCAGTTACCCATTTTGATTCTCTTGAGCTTAATTATCAAACACTATGATGGTCATTAGTTAGCAAATTCTGATACAGTACATTTAAGAAAAGTTAATTGATTTCTGTTGTCTTTTAAATCACTAGTTGACAGAGTTCCCTTCTTTTAAAAATTTTTTTTGAGTTGAATGTATGGCTCCCACCTCTTGCCTGAGAATTTGTAGTTGCTGGAATACATCCTTCCAGAGTTCCTAGCACAAATTCTTAAAATGGTGAAGATTACTCATCATTCGTGCCACATTGATAAGGTTATTGTGAAATAGAAAAATGGCTTGAAGCTGGCACATCATCATGTATTAGCAATGCAGAAATAATAGATAATATTTTGAAGGCAGCTGACAAGGCATAGAGTGCTTAGAACATAACAAAGGTGGTGAGCCTCTCCTCGGTAAAGAGAAAATCCCTTCTGAGGAGTCTCCTTGAGGGTTGACTTTGTAAATCATTAGACTTTAAGGCAACCCTTTTATATTGTGTGTAAGGTCATGTTACTATTATGTATTCTTCATACTAGCTTTATGAGAGCAGCACAGGATTAAAAAACTGACATCTGTGATATTTTTAAGATTTTAACTTCTGGAAAACTCTTGGAGTCAGTATCCATTCTTCCCTACGTCACTCATCCTCTATGAATAACTCTGCTTCTGTAATACCCTTAACTTACTGTAATGTTGGTTAGGTTGTTACAATCATCTGTTCAATGGTTTTATTCAGTAAACCCTGAATAAGAAGCCAGGATAGTGTTGAACCCATTTCAGAGCTCCTTTCCAGATAGATACATTTTTTTTAAAACATTTAGTTGCTAAAAGAGGAAGCTATAGGTACCTGATAAGTTCATTTATGTGGAAAAGCTTAACCATATTTGGTAAGTTATCATTATTTAATTGTAATTTTCTGTGCTGTTTTTATAAAGATGTTTATTATTAATAATATTTTTGAAGAGCTAATCTTTATAATAAGGAAAAAGAGTTTCTGGTGTTATATGTGTGTGCTTGTTTTTGGAAAGTTAAGAATTCATATTACTGGAGTATGCACATATATGGTTTATGCACAAATGTGTAAAGAATTTTTTTCTTTGAAAGGTTTGCAATAAGAAAATGCAATGGGACACACACACACTTTCTTATTTTCAGTCTTTAAAAGTGTGACTTATCCCAAATCCATTTAAAATTTCTTATAGACCTTTGTAAATACTTTTCTTAGATGATTTTTTTTTTTTTTTTTTAGTCTAAGAAGACCTCACTTATTCTTTTAAATTGTGAGGAGCCTCAAAGTGAGTGCTTATTATTCAGCAGATATTCTGTTGAAGAAGAAAGTAATTTAAAGAAATCAGAAGTAGGAGAAGTTAATTTATTTCCTGGAAACTTCATATCGGTTCAAGCTTACCCAGTTACTGTGAACCCTACGTAATTATTATAATTTTATTTATGTGCATGACATTAAATTTACATAAAATAGAAGGATGAAAATATGACAAACTTTTAAGTGTTGGGGAGGAGAAAGCAGATTGGGTATAAAAAGCAAGTACTTTGCTAATCAGCTACACATTTGGGGGAAGTCTAGAAGTGGAATGTTATCAAAGCACACTTTCAATAAGATGAAGAGGAGACAGGAAAGGAGACTATCAGCTGTCTGGCAACCTTAAAAGAGATTCTGCTTTTATTTTCCACATTGTCAGTCTACTCCTATGTGACTGTTCCATTCCACAGTTGTCTTTGTACTACTATATGGGCTTCTTAAGGTTCGTAGGTTTTTGTGATTGAAAACCAGATCCATTGCTGTTGAGTTGATTCTGACTCATAGGGACCCTGCAGAACAGAGTAGAACTGCCCCATAGAATTTCTAAGGCTGTAATCTCTATGGAAGCAGACTGCCACATCTTTTTTCCCTGCAGAGCAGCTAATGGGTTCTAACTGCTGACCTTTCAGTTAGCAGCCAAGCGCTTAACCACTGCGCCACCAGAGCTCCTCTTGTGATTACCATGTGGAATTAAAATGGGCAGATGTTTGAGAAGGATTTTTATGTATTTTTTGTGGTTACTTACATATTGTCTTAGTCATCTAGTGCTGCTGTAACAGAAATACCATAAGTGGATGACTTAAATGAACAGAAGTTTATTCTCTCACAGTCTGGTAGACTAGAAGTCTAAATTAAAGGCGCCAGCTCCAGGGGAAAGCTTTCTTTCTCTTTCGGCTCTGGAGGAAGGTCCTTCTCATCAGTCTCCCCCTGGACTAGGAGCTTCTCCATGTGGGAACTCCAGGTCCAAAGGACGCGCTCTGCTCCCGGCGCTGCTTTCTTGGTGGTCTGAGGTCCCCCTGTCTCTCTGCTGGCTTCTCTCTTTTATATCTCAAGAGAGATTGGCTCAAGACACAATCCACTCTTGTAGATTGAGTCCTGCCTCATTAACATAACTGCCGCCTGTCCCACCTCGTTAAGATCATAGAGGTAGAATTTACAACACATAGGAAGATCACATCAGTCACAAAATGCTGGACAACCACACAATATTGGGAATCATGGCCTAACCAAGTTGACATATATATTAGGGGGACACAATTCAATCCATGACAACATGTTATAGGTTGGAAATGTGTGTGGTTCTGGCGATTCATCTGCAGAATATTCATGAGATTGTTTTTTAAAAATTCACATTTGTATCTTGACAGATGTTCTTGAGTGCATTTTTAACTGACTTGAGTATATAGCAGAAGTTATTAAATACATGTTAACTTGCACTAGAGGTAGAATTTGCACCGCTAGGAACCTTGAGAAAATTTTTTGTTGAAACTGGCAATCAATTTGAAACATACATAATACTTATTTTTAGACCCATTAAATGTTTAAGGTCATTTTGTTAATTTAGGAACATAAACATCCACATTGCATGTGGGTTAATTTTTTTAGGAAAAAGCTTAGTAAGGTTTTGCTGTTTTTTAGAAGTAGCCCAAAACATGGAAATAGAAGAAACAACCAAATAAAAGCAACTGTTACTGTATTTAGGGAACATAGTCACTTCTCCGGAGCCCTGGTGGTGCAGTGGTTAAGAGCTCAGGCTGCTAACTAAAAGATCAGCCATTCCAATCCACCAGTTGCTCCTTGGAAACCCTACGGGGCAAGTTGTTTTTTTTTTTTTTTTTTTTTTTTTGCGTGACTTCTCCATTATCAGACTGATAGAGAAAAAAACTAATTTCAGAAAAGATTATTGGAGCTGGGAGTGGGAGGAGAGAGATTTTCTTCTCCCCAAAGAAGTGTGTCACAAAACTAATTGAACACAACACTGTCATATACAACTTGTATTTATTCAGGCTGTTTCAGAGTAAGCTCTGTCTGTGGTTGTTGCTTCATGGAGTTAGATATCCCTTCCTCTGTTATTCTAAAAGAACTGAATTAGTTTTATTTGGAGTGACTGCCTTCATAGTATTACTGGTGTAATTTCAAGGAATTTCACCCCATCCCACTGCATAAATGTCACACATTTTCCTGAAGTCTGACATTGTTTTAAAAGAAGCTGTATCTTTTATAGAGAATTTTCCAAAGGCTTTAAGAGTTGACTAGTACTTAAACTTAAGATATAATCAAATATGAAAGATAGCTATCAGATCTTTCTAGTGTGGTAATTTCTCACCTCTGTGTAAAGGAAGAAAATGAAGAGAGAATGAGTTCTTGAGGCCAGTTCCCAAACTGAAGTCCTTTGACGGTTCACTTTCACGGGAGGCCCACAAGAGATGGAAGCCTGACTTCCAAAGCGAGTTCCTTCATTTATTCCTTTAAAAGACAGCTTTTCAGTCCAGTCGCTGTTAGGACCTCGGTAAATCATGACAAACAAGACACAGAAAGTTCAAAATTGAAAGGGGTCTTTAATTTTAATGCCATTTAACAATCAGATTGAAAGTGTCTTGATAATATGAAAGTAGAATTAATCCTGTCTGCCTTTAGCTTGTTTTCCTTGCCTTGTACCTCATTTTAAGTCACTTATTCCACATATCTTGTTCACCTCCTTAAAAAAAAAAAAAAAGTTGTGAGTTCTAAAATAAAGTTGCAATATTTGTTACTTCTTCCCATCCCCCTTCTGGTTTCACTAGGTCAGGGAACCACTGTTATAAAATTATTGCATATATCTTCAGAGTGTTGAAATTGGAGAAAAAAATAAGAGGGAATGAAAACCATTTGTCTAGTAGAAAAGATTTGCAAGGGCATACCAGCTCCATTTCCTATAGTTCAGTCAGTTGATAATGGGTGGTGGTTTTAGTCTTGAACCAGGAGGAAAAAAATTAAATGCTGATTCCACAGAGCAATTTGAATAGGTTTCTATTAATCCCCTCTCTGTCATTTTAAACAAAGCAGCTGCTTCTGCCTACAGCATACCTTTGAGCAAATAAAGTGAATATAAACTAAATTAATGTACTAAGACAAATAGAATAACATCAATAAGACAGTAGTTTGTGGCAGTTTTAACGGTTTTACCAAACAGTCTTCTTGGCTTTAATTTTGTTTTAGACAGTGTTCAGAAGCCACTTTCATATATACGCAGAAGGATTTTTTTCACAGATGAAACTATGTCTGTAAAAACTTTATCATGATCAGGTGATCTTTGGCACTTTATTTGGTATCTTGAAATGAATTTTGAATATAGGTTGCTAATGGCAGGGATTTTGTACTCTGTATTCAAGGATGGATCATATGATTTCCATGACTTGGTGCCTGAGTAATTTATATATTAAAAAAAAAAAAAAAAAAAACCTATTGCCATCGAGTCAATTCCAGCTTGTGACAAACTCATGTATTAGCTCGTGCACAATAGGCATAAGAGAAAAGACGTGTTTTACTTTATCTCTGAGAAGACAGGATCTTAAAAACAAACAACTCGATATTTACTTTTTTTGATGCTTTTTAATTTCTTTTTATTTTTTCATTGTTCTATTAGGGTGACATACCTTCTGTTGAATACCTCTTACAAAATGGAAGTGACCCAAATGTTAAAGACCATGCCGGATGGACACCATTGGTAGTTTTCTGTTTGTTTGCTTTTTTTCTCATTATGTTTATGTTTTATAGTTCATAGTTACGTAGTTGTCTATATATTTTACTCTGCCACTTACACACTTTTTAATCTGAAGAATTTATTCACTAAATATGAGAAAATGATTATTTTCCATCTAGCTTTTTACTTGTGACAGGCAAGAAATTGGCTGTATGGACTGACTCCCTATAGAATTAGGAATGCGGTTTCACTATATTGCTGACTTTAGCTAGTGAATGGAGGCAATGGCTACCACCAGCACCAGGCTCTATTCTACAGCGTTGCATGCCATTGGAACCAAGTATTTTGGAACAAAGAAAGGTCATAGGAATTTGGTACAAGAAATGTACGGAAACAATTCTTACTGAGGATCTGTCTTAGCCTCGCTTGTACCCTACCTAATTGCAAATATATAGAGGCAGTAGAAAGCTTACATTAAACACTTTTTTTAAAAAAGTCTTTGCTTATTATTACTAAAAATGCAGTGTAAAGAATACTGTGGAAGAAGAATGGCACAGATACTTGGAAACAAGTGTTATATGGGCTGATTACATTAGGATAATATGAGATTTTGAATGCAGCCACAGAAGTGTTAACAAATGAGGTGGATGCCTTTGTCCAGTAAGCTAGAAATCCAGTACAGAAATTAGGAGGCTCTCATTAGGCCAGGTGCAAAAAAGGTTTAAAGTTATATAATGTTTTCTCCTTGCCAAATTCTTAAGCTGGGAAGATTTAGTCTGGATCGGAGTTACTTTGTTGTTTGGACTCCATAGGCTGGCTAACCTTTTCAAAGAAAGGTTACTCTTTTTTTTTTTTTTTTAAAAGACACTTAGGCAATTTGTAGTAAAGGCTAATGGGTGATTTAAAGGACCTGATCCCTAATTTGGATTCCTTTCTCCTAGAAATAGACCTAAGATGTTCACTGTAGTATTGCCTATTAAGAATTGAAATAGATGTACTTAAAAAGCTCAATATGCCAGAAATTTTTTAGAATACAACATAGTAGCATTATTAGCAGTTCGTGAGACATAAAGGAAAGGTTTGCATGTGAACCATCTTTGAATATTCTATTAAGTTACCAGCTGTGTCATTCTTTCAATAGACTTTTTTGGACACCTACCCTGTGTTATAGCTCTTATCACTGACACCAGCCATAACGTTGTCTGTAGCTTCAGCAAGTGGAGAGACTTGTCTTGAAAATACTATTGCTATTCTTGCATCTTCAGTTCTTTGTGTGATTATGTATGTATGCTGGTGTACAACTTAGTGCATGGCTAAGCACCTGATTTAGTGAATTCCATTCAGCCTTGGACAGTTTCAGATTTTTTGCAAGATCAGTTAGCTATTTTCTAAGTTTTTTTTTTTTAATTTCTTATTGTAACAATTTAGGAGCTTTAGTTGGTTTAAGCCTGCCTTTTCTTCTAAAAGAAGGGACACTAGGAGTTATAGTGGGTATAAAGCTACATTTTCTTCTGAAAAAAAAAAAAACACTTGACTCAAGATTTAAATGAATCAAACAAAACCAAACCCATTGCTGTCGAGTAGATTCTCACTCATAGTAACCTGATAGGACAAAGTAGACCTACCCCATAAGGTTTCTAAGCTGTAATCTTTACAGAAGCAGACTGCCACATCTTTCTCTCATGGAGTGGCTGGTGGGTTCAAACCACTGACCTTTTTGGTTTGCAGTCGAGTGCTTAACCACTGTGCCACTAGGGCTCCCTAAAATGAACAGCCTCTTCTTTTTCCGTGAATCACCATGTATCATCACAAAGATTATTAAGTGTGACTTTTACTTTGTCGACAACTTATCTGAATGAGTATTTAGGTGAGAATAAATCTACTGACTGAGGTTCACATTTTCTTTTTTACAATAGTATTCATTGTTTTATTGTAATATTATTCATTGCCCTTCCTAATCACTCTTCCCACTCCTCTTTTTGTTTAATTAGCATGAGGCCTGCAATCACGGGCACTTGAAGGTAGTGGAATTGTTGCTTCAGCACAAGGCGTTGGTGAACACCACCGGGTATCAGAATGACTCACCACTTCATGATGCAGCCAAGAATGGGCACGTGGACATAGTCAAGCTCTTACTTTCCTATGGAGCCTCCAGGAACGCTGTGTAAGTAGTTCAACTTAAATAATTTTTTTAGTTGACTTGTTTTCCTGAATTAAGGTATGTAATACAGTCAAGACTTTAATACCCGAGTTGATGGCTTTCTTTCTTCTTTCACAACTAAAATTAGAGGCGACCATTATGTTCCGGATTTAAAATTAGCGTTCGTGCCCTTTTCCTTTATGATACTTATATACTTGGGAAGGTTTAACTCGGGAAGATTTACTCTTTTAATTCAGAAACATTTGTCAATTAATTTTAGAAGCTTTGATTTTTCTGGACAGATTTATTTGGTTTTTATATTCAGTAGGTTCATATTTATAAATAAGAATTAGAAGAATAGAAATAATTATTTAGTATGCTTCTCAGTACTTTAAAATTGTTTACATGTTCCATTTCTTTTATGCTTTCTCTGCCTATTTAGTATAACAACAGTTTAAATGTGTAAGAATTCAGATGTTGGGCAAGTGCAGTTGGATTATTTCTTAGATTTTTCACATCATTCAGATGAGGCTCTGGGTAGATTGTTTTGCAGTGTCAGGGCATAAAGAAGCATTAGTGAATGCTGGCGGCTGCATTTTAAAATTGCAGTTGTCAAGAGTGTCACAAATAAATGCCATATGTGGATTTTATATCTTTAATCTGTAACTTGGTTCATGTCTCCCTATATATTAATTTACTCTTTCCAGCTGATAGGGTAGTTGAAATGAAAATGCAAGAATTGCTTCCCTGTGCCCCCATTGCTTCTGTAGGTTTGGAAAGAGCATACAGAGGTCAGGCTTGCCCTGGTACAGAGGCAAATAAGAATTATAAAATGCATAGCTTCTAGGTTGTAATGTTTTATAGATAACCATATTATATAATTGAAAAACAAATTAATAATGCAAGAAAGTACCGTACTTTGGTGCTGTTAGTTTCAGTAAATATGTCTGATCTCCTTTATTTTCCACTTTCTGTTAGAAGATAGTTGAAGCAAGTTCAGTAGCTATGTGTTCTTCTGTTTTTTATTTTTCTTTGTTTTATATATATTGGACCCAATAGCTATGACACTCCTGTGGGTGTTGCAAGCCATTTGATAAAGCAGTGGTTGCTTGGGCCAGGTGAAACTGGATAGTTTCTGTCCTGAGGTTCTTAAATCAGCCGTGACTACTTTAATGAATGGAGCACTGGTGAGAGCGTTAGGGAATGCAGCTTTTATTTGTGACTCCATTATTGACTTTATAGCCTCCGGCAGGTTAATTTCTGTGCCTTGGTGTCCTCACCTATAAAACATAGGTGATGCCTGCTGCTTTCTATTTCTTCAGAGCATAGTGAGGATTAATGAGCCAAAGCACTGGGCCTGTCTTGTGGTTTGTATGCCATGATTCTTCACTGCACTGTGAAAGCTTATTAATATACAAGGTGTGGCCTTAAGACAGTGAGCAAGCCTGCCTTCATAGGTGCCTTCTCAGATAGATCCGTGTTGTTTTAAGTTAGGATTACTGAGTCAATTGGCAAATTTAGGTTTGTCTATAGCCCAGATTTATCCAGTAGACCTTTCTGTGCTGATGAGAATGTTCTTTATCTGTGCTGTGCATTGAAGTAGCCGCTGGCCATCTTGAACACTTGAAATGTGGCTACTGCTACTGAGGAGCTAAATTTTAAACTTTATTTTATTTTAATTAATTTAACTATCTGCATGTGACAGGTGGCTACTGTATGGGACAGCTGGTTGATACAGTTAAGATAGTGGGGAAGGAGGGTTTATTTGGCAAAAGGAATGGGGATGATGTTGGATAAAGCATATTAAGACAGATGTAGAGCAAATGCAAGTGTAGATTTAATGTCGAGTACAGCAGTATGGTAGCTGTTTCTAAACATTGTTTTCCTCCTATTCCAGATAGTTGGTCATCATATTATTTTTCTGTGTTTTTTGCTTTTTGTTTTATTTTCTTATAGTTGTTGTTCAGTTGACTTCACTAGTTTCCTGCTGATATCCTTCTTTTTAGATTAATTTATTCCCCAGAGAGATTTAAAAAAACACACACACACAAGTATGGCTGTGTCATTTATTTGCATAAAACCCTTCAATGGCTTTCTGTTAATGTTTTTAAGATATAAGTTAATCTCCAAACATGGTTTATAAGGCCCTGGATGACCTGGTACTACTTACCTCTCGTCTTGCCACAGTTCCTCCTGTGCTCTTTTACTTCAAGCATTTTTTGCACTAGCCGTTTTGAATTTTTATTTCCTTAATATGTCCCAGACTATTTTGTTTCCTAGCCTTTATACACTTTCCGTCTCTCAGGAATATTCGTTTGTCGTGGCTAATTTCACGTTCTTTGGGCCTCAGTCTTAGAAATTACTTCTTTTGACTTAACTTTCCTGATTCCACAAGCTTGTGTATATGGTGCTTCCCCTAATCATTAGAACTTAGGTGGTAGTGTATTTACTTACTGTCGTCCCATTAGGTTGTAAGCTCTATGGACCAAGGGCCATGTCTGCTCTCCCAAGCTTGAGTTAGTGTTTAAATGAAGTGTTTTCCTTTCTTTTGATAAAAGATCAGATGAGATGAAAATAGGAATTTCCTCCCTCTTCCCCCACCTTCATTGTAAGTCTGAAGAGAACACCGAAAACCATGTTCCCACAAACTGCACCTCTACTAGGGTGATTGAACTGGTTTCTGGTAGCTGTTCAGTAAATGATATGTGCTCCCTGGGTAGAAGTCTTACTCTCTCTCCCAAATGGGTATCCATAGTTCATTACCTTTTGTGGGATCATGGTTATCCAAAGTAAATTCTGTAGCCTTAACACTTTAAGGTCTCTTTTTCCCTCTGTTAGTGTTGTTTTTCTAGATTTAAGTACTGACAGATGAGATCAGATGAAATTCATTCCTGTGCCTTCCTCCAGTTCTTAAGTGGGGGAGGAGGGCTGGGGTGAGAAGACTATATAGTTCTTACTACCTGCCCTCCTTTTGTTGTCTGAAACTCTTGCTCGTTTTAAGCCATAAATATCTCAGACTCTGGAATCTGAGTTGATAAGCGTGTTTCCTTTTTCTTTCTCTGTATTACCGTATTATCTCTTTCACTCTTGAAAGAATTCTTTCCTCAGTGACCAGGACTAGACTCTTCCTATCCCTAGAAGGATGAGAGCCAGAAAGAACAAAAGTCATTTTTTCTGTCTTTCCATCTTTGGAGCCTGGTACTTTGATTAATTGAAATTGTAGTTAAGATGGATCCTTTTGCTTATTTTAAGTTTCTAAGTGATATCCTTTAGTTCTGAGACAGACGTTTTGGCAACCTTCATTATTATTTAGAGATTGAAGCCTTCTTTTTATCTAGGTGCCTTCCTTTCCTGGGTCTTCGATGAAGTCCTGTTAGGTTTTCTTCTCGATGCTCCTTCCAGTTCATCACCCCCCTAGTTGTTCTCCCTGGTTGCTTACATTCAAGTAGGAGTGAGCAGGCAGATCGCTGATTACAGAAGAGCGTAATATGTGCCTTCATAAAATGTTGCCCAGGTTTCTGTGAAAATCGATGGTAAGGCTCTGAATAAGACTGGAGAAAGTTGTGAAAAGCTTTCTGGAGGAAGCAGCATTCCTAATGAGTTTAGAAGACCAAAAAGAATAGGGGATGGGGTTTTCAGAAAGAGGAGACGAGGGTACTAAGATACACTAAGACCAGGCTGCATGTTCATTCAGTTCTGGGAACTTCTGTTAGTGATCTAAGACTGGGATGAAAGTGGAGAGGGTGATGAGAGAAGAGGCCAGAGGAGGTAGGCAGGAACCATGAAAGGCCCTGTTTGCTAAAGAGGTCAAATTTTAAATTAAAAGCTTTCTTCTTCACACTGGCTCAGGGAACTCAGTTATGAGGTATGTCTAATAATCCAGGGGAAGAGTGACGAGAATCTGAATTAAAGTAGTGATAATGGCAGTGAATTTGTACTTTAGATGAAGGTTTACAGAACAAACTAGTTTGTCATTAAACAGTACACATATTGTCTTATGACATTAACAATCCCACGACATGTCAACACTCTCCCTTCTTGACCTTGGGTTCCCTCTTAACAGCTTTCCTGTCCCCTCCTGCCTTCTAGTCCTTGTCCCTAGGCTGTTATGCCCCTTCAGTCTCATTTTGTTTTATGGGCCTGTTTAATCTTTGGCTGAAGGGTGAACCTCGGGAGTGAGTTCATTACTGAGCTAAAAGGATGTCTGGGGAGCATACTTGCGGGATTTCTCCAGTCTGTGTCAGGCCAGTAAGTCTGGTCTTTTTCTGTGAGTTAGAATTTTGTTGTGATCGCTGTGAGGGCGAACTTAGCTATTTTTGTCAGTTTATTCCTTTAGGCAAAGTTTGATTTTTTTTTTTTTTTTTTTTTTTGATGGATGTGTCAAGTTTCACAATTATCCTATTAGGATTTTGATTGAAATTGCATAAATGTATAAATTACAGTGGATTAATAAAGTTGATATCTTACCCATTAACATGGTTTCTCCATTTCTTTAAACCTTTTGTTACATATATGTTAGTAAAGTTTCAGGAGTCCCTGGGTGGCACAGAATGGTTAAGCACTAGACTACTAACTGAAAGATTGGCAGTTCACACCCAACCAGAGATGCCTTGAAAGTAAGGCCTGGTGATCTGCTTCCAAAAGATCACAGCCTTGAAATCTCCATGGAGTATAATTCTACTCTGCACACTTCGGGTAGCCATGAGTCAGAATTGAGTCAATGGCAACTTAACAATAATAATAAAGTTTTGTGTTTTGTGTGTGTGTGTGTGTGTGTGTGTGTGTGTGTGTGTATACATACACATAACTTCGTTTATTGAGGTTATTCTAAGTATTTGATTCTTTTGTTGCCCTAGTGAACTGGATGTTCTGTTTAAGAAATATAACTGGTTGTTCCTGATAAAATAGGAAGCTGTTGATTTTAGTACATTTCTCTTATGTGCAACCAACACCTAATTTTAAGGATATAATTGTCATTGATTAGCTTTTATTTCTGTTTCATCTGTTACTGCATTTGCCAAAGC